CTTCATTACCCATTCAAGCCGTCTCCAACCATCGTTAGTCTCAAAGTGGGTTCCTCGTCATCGAATTCTTATAGGACATCCACCATCCCAAAATATGAAGCGTTTTTTGTGCGGCAACGGGCCACGAACATATGAAAATGTGTTTTATTAGATGATTTGTGGTAATTAGGTGGTTACTTATAGCTAAGTCAGTAACCGTGTAGACTTCACCTTGCCTTGTAAAATCATGTACTTAAAGAATATTGCAATGAAGGAGCTAAAAAGAAAACGACCGAAAAGAAAGAATAACCACTCCTCGGAAGTTCTCGAGTTGAGTGCCATTATTAACATAAGGATATGTTTCGTTTTAGGGACAGAGAAACAGAATTACTGGATAATGTGAGGAGACTCCATACGGTAGTGAAAATACTCACCAACTGATATAGGGTTTTAGTTGATTAAATAAAACGATCAAGAAACCTTATATATATAGATATTTACTGGACTGCGAATTCTTGATTTTACCAAAAAATAACGTATGAACATATTAACACCAGAAGACCGATTTAAAAGACAATGTCAATGTTTTTCACATTTAAGAAATATTTAATATAAGTACGCCATCTATGCTGCAAGATTTCACGTTTGTTTAACTGCTTTTTTAGTTAAGTCGTAAACCAAGTTTTTTTTCTGTCAGTGACGTCTACAAACTTTTCCAACTGTATTTAAAAAAAAATCAAAATCAAACTTTTGGTTCGATTAAAAAAGCATAGTTTTTAGTTGTTTAAAAGTTGGCGTGGGAGGAGGATTACAATTTATCCGCTAGGTTTTTAAACGAGACACGTCAGCTACATTTTGTTTTGTTTTTTGACGGATGATTGAAAGATGACGTTTCGATTAGCTACAGCAGGTCTTCGGCAAGTTTTGATGGAACTCTTTGTTCGCAGGTAGAAACGTCGTTTTCACGTGAGATTCAAATTAGTAGGTGAAGTCCGAAAAAAAAAAAGGTTCACGTCTAGATTACATCCATATTTTGATGGAAATTACAGAAACGCTAGAATAAAGTTTGTAGTTTTTCTTCAAAACGATTTGATTTGTATTCTCGAAATCAGAGAGCGTCAGATATTGAATAGTTCCAAACAATGCGCTACTGTTCCAGTACAAACGAGATTTTGAACACCTTGTAATTAATAAACTAATAAAAGTTAATATTTTTTTCTCTATTTGCTGTCTCGTTTAGAGAATTTATTTTCTCTTTTTTTTTTTCAGCTGTTCGAGAAGACAGAATGCCGGGTGGGCGAAATTCTGGAGCTGTGTATAACCTTTATAAGGTGAGCAAGCTTATCTAGGATTATGGATAAACAAACAAGGTCACTTACCGACTTTATAATGGGGCTTATCCAGGTTATGGATAAACAAACAAGGTTACTTACCGACCTTATAATGGAGCTTATACAGGTTATGGATAAAATGTCACTTACCGACTTTATAATGGGACTTATCAATGTTGTGGATACACAAACAAGGTCAATTACTGACTATAATGGGGCTTATCCAGGTTAGGGATACACAACCAAGGTCAATTACCGACCTTATAATGGAGCTTATCCAGGTTAGGGATACACAAACAAGATCAGTTACTGACTATTATAGCGGACTTATTAGGATTATGAAAAAATATACAAGATCACTTAGCGACTGTATATGGTTGTTCACATCTATTATTTTTGTAAATCTTCTTTATTTATTTGTGCATAGATGAAACAACCTTCATCTAGCACTCGCTGTTGTGAAACTTGTTTGGTGGGCTGCATCAGGACCACGCGGTTTCCTTTTTCGTTTAAAAAAATCGAAATGATGTCATTTCTCGCACAGTTACAGCTTAAATCGACTCGTTATTAAACTATCTGTATAATAATAAACACACAACTTTAATTTTTTACCTTCTGTGATCATTTCTAGCGCGTATGTTTACTCTCAGATAATTCAGTTAGGGTCTGCTAACAGGAGAACATTGAGTGATGGTTAAACCCACAATCTTTATTAACAAACAAACGCATTCAAAGTCACATTACAAAAGATGGTGTGTTGAAGTGGTAAGAGAACAATGGAGAAACTTTAATTGGATGTCTCTTACCAGTCCACATTCAAAATCACATTACAAAAGATGGTGTGTTGAAGTGGTAAGAGAACAATGGAGAAACTTTAAGTGGATGTCTCTTACCAGTCCACATTCAAAATCACATTACAAAAGATAGTTTGTTGAAGTGGTAAGAGAACAATGGAGAAACTTTAAGTGGATGTCTCTTACCAGTCCACATTCAAAATCACATTACAAAAGATGGTGTGTTGAAGTGGTAAGAGAACAATGGAGAAACTTTAAGTGGATGTCTCTTACCAGTCCACATTCAAAATCACATTACAAAAGATGGTGTGTTGAAGTGTTAAGAGAACAATGGAGAAATATTAAGTGGATGTTTCTTACCAGTCCACATTCAAAATCACATTACAAAAGATGGTGTGTTGAAGTGGTAAGAGAACAATGGAGAAACTTTAAGTGGATGTCTCTTACCAGTCCAATTTGACCCCCCTTCCCACCACCACCTTCTAAGCTACACTAGATGTCTAAACATAAAAACCAAAATAACCTCAACGTTATTATACATTGCAAAGCATAAATATAAAAATGAAACTGAAGTCAAGCTTGGATCGAGTCAAGTTAAATCACAGTCTAAATCAAAGCTATCTGTTAATAAACGTTTATCTCAAGTTTTGCTTACCTGCAAAAGCAATAAAAATTACTCTTAGAAGATCACACCTGGCTTTAAATACAAAACACAATATTACCACACAAAGTCAGATTTACACACGACTACCTCTTGTGCACGTAATCATCGTCCACTGCAGTCCAAACGTAAGGGCGTGGCAGCATCTGGCCATCATATGGTTTGCTAACAGAAAAGACAATCATCTATCTCAAAACCTCAAATCTATCGTTTCTGCAAGAAATACGGCTACTCGCCAAATAGTGAATTAACGTCATGTCAACGTGAGCGATTCTCTGCGTCAAAACTGAAAGAGAATAGAAAAGTCTCGCAAACTTTACACATTAACTAATAGTTGATCTGAGGCATGGTACAGTTTTATATCGCACTTCTGTAATTGACATTGTTTTTAAAGTAATAATATCATATACAATGGTAGTAAAACATGCACCATCAAAAAAGTTTGTAAGCGAGATAAAAAACGATAAAACTCTGGCGCTTTCAACAGGTGAATCTGTCTTCTTTACTTAACCTTAAGGTTTGTTTACTTGTAATTAAGCACAAAGCTACACAATGGGCTATCTGTGCTCTGCCCACCACGGGTATCGAAACCCGGATTCTAGCATTGTAAGTCCGCAGACATACCGCTGTGCCACTTGGAGGGGGCATCTACATTAGTTTGTTTGTAGTTAAGCACGAAGCTACACAATGGGCTACCTGTGCTCTGCCCACCACGGGTATCGAAACCCGGATTCTAGCATTGAAAGTCTGCAGACATACCGCTGTGCCACTAGGGGGCTAAAAATGAGGGGTTGCAGTAGTAGTATGTTTAATATAAATACAAAATACAGTCACTTTGATTATATTTCAC